AATATAAATGAGCCAAACACAAGCTAAGCCTGGGCTTGGTTGTGTTCGGCTCGTTTACACCCATGGCTCCGTATCAATATCAAGGTTATCATTAAATCAGGTTAAACCAACCAAAGTTGATGGGCTCTAAGGAAGTAAGATAATTATTTTTCTCTTCAATGTGCAGTAGGTCAATTGAGAGGAGGTTCATCAAGAGACTTACATTAACCCAGGTTTGCTAACCTTAAGGATTGACTCACAAAAAAATTATACTCATTATAATTCTAGCATAATATCATAAATCAACTTTCCATACCTTGTTTAAGCAAATAAATTGAAACTGTAGTACAAATTCTTCTAAGTTTTGCTGTAGACATCAACCATCCCCAAAGTATGCATCCGGGAAAGCTTAAAAACTTGGGTACATCCATATTTTATGTACAAGGCCTGGATTTGTATATGCTCCAACCAACCACAGCTAAACCCTCAATAATAGTGTAAAAAACAGCTCAATTTTCATAAATAACTTATGTAGAACTTGATAATTTGTTTATTTTTGGCTCATTTATTAATTAAATGAGCCATGCTTGATCGTCATTTGCAAACTTGTTTGCTAAACAAGTCAAACATGGAGAATTGTTCATTCAATTATGCTCAACCCGATAAAATCTCAATATATATATTTATTGAATAAGCTTGTAAGTACATGTCCACGCACAAATACACATGCTTGCGCACGATGCACACTTGTCCACACGCACTAACGTTATTTATTTAACTTAAGCATTTATTTATTTTAACCACTGAATATGCTTTAGCAATCATGAAAACATATATAAGTTCTGTGAATTTTCAAGGGCATTATACTATGAAATCATGAATTTTCTTTTCATACAATTAGAGCCATAAGTATAAAATTTGTTGTGCATTTGATGGTTATTGATTTTGCTTGTTGTTCTTATTTTACTTTACAATAAATTTGTTGATCATGAACACAAATTTTTAGCTCTTTAACAAACTTGTGCTCGGATGTGTATGAGTCAATAGTTGATGACCTCGGTTATATAAACTCCCAATCTTTTCATATCAACTAATTGCATGCATACTTTTAAATCACATATTTAGGTAAAACAGAAGATTTATAAGATTGAATTTAATGGGAGAACGCCTTAGTTTATGACTTGGCAAGGGATAATGATTGAGAGAAATGTACAAAGCAAAAGAAAAGGTCGCAGCATGTATTGTAAATGTGATGAAACTAACTTATTAGATTTTCGAAGTTTGTGTCGTTGTGGTCTTAAAAAATTTGCAAAGCACATTTAACTCTCGTCGAGAGCTTAACACGGCACCCAAAAGGCAAATGAGATAGTAGGTAAGACGCTACCCAAAGATTTTACCCTCATATTGCAAGGACTTTAAGATGTGGGGTTTGAGGTTTCCCATAGGCACAAACCCCTATGGTTAATTACCCCTCCTGATAACGGGAGGGTACTTTCAATTAAGGCTAGTAATCAGACGCTAAGTATTCAGACTTTGCATATAGTAGTAGCAGATTTGAGAATTAAAATTATTAAAATTATCACCGTGAGCTCAAAGCGGATGGTGGGGGAAATGACGACGAACTCAATCAAGATCCTATGGTTCCGTCATCTCGGGTTCTCATGGTCTCGAGTCTACTTAGTCAGCGGAGGTAGTCAACTCAACCTGGCAACATGTTTCTTGTTAGCAACCATGGGTTGCTTCGTCCAAAGGGACCTTGTAGACCTGGGGTGAATGTTTTTCTAAGGGGACTAATCTAAGTCGACTTTTAACTTACAAAGGGTTTTCTGTCCTGTCAAATATACCTTATGATTCAATACTGGTTGCCATTGGGGAACACTGGCTCCAACCTGGCGTAATACAATAGTGTCATTTGGCAGAAAATCACTCGGTTAGAGGGCTCTGGTCTTAACCACTTTTTTGTGTGTCTTCGCTGATCGCACTGTGGAAGAGGGAGGTGTGAGAGATTATGGATAAAAAAATGTCCGAGAGTTGTAGGTATTGCTTTTATTATTTTATTTTTTTATTTCTCTTAAGTGATGGCGAGCTCTCATTGGGAGGAGTGGGTGGCAACATGTGGGGGATAACATGGATTGGCAATGGCTTCTAAGGGAAGGTGCTGAAGGGTTTAAATTAAATTTTTTTTTAAAATTTTAGGCATCTCATTTTGCATGTTATTGACTCAAGTACGAAAACATATCAATATTGGCATCCTTAGGTGAAGTTGATGCTTCAGACGCGCTCGTGCAGTCTGTTTTGTGATCAGAGGTCGTTTGAGCAACTTTCAGTGACGCTCGAGATGATTTAGGCTTAAATTATGCACATGCGCCGAAGGCTTGTAGTTTTCATGTTGTTCGGCCATTTTGATCATAAAAGACACCTCATTGGGTGAGGTAATTTTGATGTTTTCGAATGCAATGGAGGAGCCATGTCCTATCGACCAATCTTGTGAAATATATATTAGGGTCAACAGTCGTTCAATAATTTATATTAAGTCCTTAAAAATTTGCATTATAATTTCAAAAATATAAAATATAACCACTTTCTGGATGTCAATGCCTATTTCCTATTAGGGTTGTGAATTAAGGAAAGTCTCCTTAATCATAATTTCAGATTTTCTTGTTAGAAAACCTTTTTCAAGTCTTCCTTGGCTTCCATCTGCTCTTATTATTTTGGCATCGCTTTTAAAAATCCTACTATATCACAAATTTAATTCATCAGGGAATAGCATGATGGTTATTCTTACCTTGTTTGTGGCCCCCTTATAGAGCCACACAATTATGCTACACACCTGTGAAGCAGCTCATAAATCTTTGTGAGATTAATGGATATTGCATTAAATATGATAGCACAACTTAGCAAAACACTAGATAAAACTTATTCTAGGTTCTTGTGATGAGTACTACCTTCTAGCTCGATAATAGTCTAGACATGCAATAAGATTATTATCATATCCTTCTTTGTTTGTCTCCTATTCTCCCTAACTAGAGTCATACTTGACATGGATTTTAGTTTTAAATTTTAAGCAGAAACGATAGGTTTCATAAAGTGAATGGGTGGGTTAAATTCTGAAAGCCAGGGAAAGCTATACTCAAATTCCGCTTGCTGGTTCCAAAATCTAGAACATGTTGTTTCTCTGTCTGGAACGAGATCTTGAAAACATAATTTGAGCTTGAAGGAGAGTAAGATTTATTTTTTTCCATATTTTCTAACCTTTGACTTCCATTTTGGAAGTGAAAGGCAATACCGCTTAACCACATGGTTGGTAGGAGAGTAAGATGTATCGGATTTTTTGAAGAATTTGTTACTTTTTAAAGGATTTAAACTGTTCAGAAGAAGTAAAAACATGCTTCTGAATCTAGGAAACTGAATTTTATGATTACCTGTAGTTTCCATGCATTCATCTATACCCTCTATAATGTGACTTTCACATATTACCTCATTGATTGCTCTGTATTGTCTTTGCTCCCGTTTTTATTTCCATTTTACACCCTATAGGTTTAGCTTTCCACATGTACCTTATTATTCTGTCATATCAATTAACAAAATGGTTTAATGCCTAGTTTACTTCGGAAAAATGTTTATAAACCTGTTTGAGGTGATCCATAATTTTGACTAAAAAATTTCAGTTATAGACTTCTAGTTGTATTCTGCTCAATTTAAATCTTCACAGATGTTCATAAAGATTTAATGTTAAATGTTTGACATCCAAAGCTGACCATGGGCCATAACATATCTTTATTCAACAAATTCGCAGCTTTCTTGCTTTAATGACCTAATAATTCCTCCTTTCTATTGAAAGAACTGACACAAACCAATTCATTCCCTGCATAATCTGAAATGCATTTAGAAATCTTCGGTATTCTTACATTAATTTAGCGGTAAAGTTACCTGCTCAGATTTTCATAAGTTTCTTTCATGGCTTGCTAATTTTGATTTCCACCTCTTAGTCATCCAAGTTCTTGACTCTGCTGATTACTTAACTGTGAATCTAATGTTATTAATGATAACTTTCTTATTTTGTTTGCTCTACACCGGTCTCTTATAACTAACTAAATTAGTACTTCTAATATCTGACACTAATGAAAAAGTGGTTGATTGATCTCTGACAAATTTTACTAGTTTATTTTGCTTAAAGCATGACGATCTCTTGATGATGGGTTCACACAAAATTACGCAATCTCTTAAAATGCTTTCCCTAAACAGATCTGTGTAAGCTCTATCAGTTTTATGTATGCATTTTTAGCATTTGTAGAGTTGCATTAGGAAAAAATACAAATAAAATAATTAATATTTCATGTATCCTTTGACGTGACATTTTTGCATTGTTTAAATCAAAGGTAAAATTTGTGTATTTTCATTCTTTTGGGCTATTTGATATTTCAATAACACATTCTGAATAAATAAAATTTTCTGGCGAAGTAGAGACTGTCTTGTTTGTGTTGATGAAGAAAGGAGTAATCTCTAAAGAAACATGCTTATGGATTGCATCTGTTTTATGCTTGACATCAACATAAGGCTAATAATTATGCTTGAAGCTCACGATAATTATTAGAGTTTTAATTGATTCGAAATTGAGATTGTTTTTCTTTGATTTGAATACGGCTTGCTCACAATTAGTTTTTTTTGCTTTGAGTTGAAGATGGCCGCTCAAAATTAGTTTGATTTAATTTGAAAATAACTTGATATATGATATATGTGCACGTCTACGTGTGTCTCAACACAACTTGTCGAAAGACCAACTTGAAATATAACATTTTTAAGTTTATATTAAACCATATCGGCCTCATCCTGATTTACCACTCAAAATGCAATGCATTTAATCCAGTTCAATAATTTCTTACAGAATTTATGATGATATTTAGTTTAAATTGTGTAAAATTTCCTTCCTGTTATTTTATTTCCTCCACATCATTTACTGAGTGGCAGGTTCTAATTTAGTCTTGTATATCTGTGGACGCTGAATGTGTTTATTCCATTAGGCTAGAGAAGATGGGTGCTCTTGATGTGAACAAGGTGGTCCATGGGCACCAAGGATGGCGCCTAGTTACTTGTGCCTGGCTTCATGCTGGAGTGGTCCATATACTCGCCAATATGTTGAGCCTTCTTTTCATTGGAATTAGACTCGAACAAGAATTTGGATTTCGTAAGTGACATTTCAACTTAACAATATCTTATCTACTAGTATCAATCATATGTATTGACCCAAATTTATGTTGATGTTGTCCTTCCTTTCTGTCAGTGATTTTACTTTTTTTTTATTAATGATCTATGAAAAGCTAATATAATAATCAGGAGATGTTTTTCGTGGAGTGGCTGGCTACCATTCTCTTAAATAATAATACTAAAACATGGAGCTTCTAAATTTAACGCCTTTTGTTTTACTCTCGGTTGTTTCTAAGCTTGTACGAAGATAGAAAGCATCTTTTGCTGCTTCTTACACAATTATTACGCAATTCCAAACCAATTCAATAAGGGGGCAAACTGGACCAGAACCTTTACCGATATGCCCAATCTAATTGAGTAAAATTCCACAGCATATATAGCTGCAAATTATATATCTTACATATGCATTTTATTTTATTTAGGTTTAAGCTGAATCCCATGGCCCAAAAGAGTGCAAATGCCTCTAACTTGACTGTCTAAACCTTTACTCTCGCCAAATAAACCTCAAACTAATTAGATCCAAGCTGTCCAGTCTAGTGTCAAATATTTCCTATTGTTCTAACATTTCTTCCTTCTTTACCAGCCAGAATAGGCCTTCTATACATTATCTCTGGGCTTGGTGGTAGCTTACTATCTGCTCTCTTTATCCAATCAAGCATATCAGTAGGTGCTTCAGGAGCACTTTTTGGATTACTAGGCGGCATGCTCTCCGAACTCATAACAAATTGGTCAATTTACGCAAATAAGGTACAATTGTAATTTTACTAATTAATTTGAGTTTAGCTGGAATTGAAGTTCTTGTATCTATTACGTGTTTCATTCATCTGTAGCTTGCAGCATTGCTGACACTTGTGTTCATCATTGTAATAAACCTGGCTGTTGGCGTCCTCCCACATGTGGACAACTTTGCTCATATTGGAGGTTTTATCTCTGGATTTCTTCTTGGCTTTGTACTATTGATTCGCCCTCAGTTTGGATGGATCAGCCAACAGAATCAACCTCCTAGTGAACAACACATTGGTTCGATGAAACGTAAGCATAGGATGTATCAGTATGTACTGTGGATAGCTGCTGCAATTCTTCTGATTGTGGGGTGAGCTTCTTTGGAGAAACTCAAATTTTTGGATTGTTTAGGGAAAAATTACCAATATTATTGATTTTGGTGCAGATTTACAATTGGTATGATCATGCTTTTTCGTGGGGTTAATGGCAATGATCACTGCTCTTGGTGCCATTATCTGAGCTGCGTTCCCACTTCAAGATGGCATTGCAATTCATCAGCAACTAATTGCTCGGTATGGAGCTGATATCTTCTACTTTTTTTTATCTGAATTCATCGTTTTCTAGAAAAAAAAAAAAAAAAACCTTAGAAAAATTTTCCCGCCAACTTCTTGCAAAATTACTCGAAATACAAAGCATTTTGTCCAGCCATGATGATGAAATCTTAAGGGGATGGAATAGTTGCTGTAAATGTAATATGCAATTTGTGAACTTTTGCAGGCATATCAAGATGGGAACCAGTTGAATTTAACGTGTGAGGGTGGCAGTGACAGAAGCCAGACCTACCCCTTACCAAATGCGAGCAGTGATAGGATTGAAGAGCTTTGCTCCCAACTCTGCAGTTGACATTACCTACTCTCAAATATGGGATGATTTGCCGCTGATTCTTTGTATAAATCATTGAGGATTTTTTTTTTCTTAGAACATTTATATACATATCACTCAATTCTTGTGTATTTACATATCTAACACCCAAACTTCACTTTCTACATTTATGCCACCTTACCTTTACATGAAAATGCATATTTCACATTTTAAAAGTTAAAATAGTGATATTTTCGATGTCATACGAAAGATTTGGGCGGTTTAAATATAAATTGCAAAATTTTAAGTGTTATAGATGCAAATATGTAAGAATTGGGTGGTATGCATGTAAATGCCTTTTTCCTTTGTTTTGAGATGATTTATACTCGATAATGTTCAATTGAATATTTTTCTTACATCATGTATCCGAGATTGCTGTCTTTGTTGTAGGGTAATTTTATTATGTAATGTTAGATGAATCAATATGATAACTTTGATTCTAAGAAGTGAGTAAAAAGTAGGCTAATAAGTATTTTAATTGAAATATTCTTATTTTGTGCTTTTCTATGTTTAGTTTGTAAATTTACAATTTGTCATTATTTTTCATTTTTGATTTGATCCGTTCAAGTTATGGTGTTGTCATCCCTTTTTTTTTAATGATTATTAATCTTAATTTTGTCTAGCTTAGCATCATGTCAAGTATTTAATATGTAAATACTAGAAATTGGGTGGTATATATGCAAATGCCCCCAAAAAAAATATAGGGGTCAAAAGTATAATTAAAAATGCCTTTGATGATGTTGTTAGTATTTTTATTTTAATAAATCGGACTTGTTATGTTAAACGGATGTGTACACGCCAACACCCAATTTTATGCATTTATTTATCTAACACCCAAATTCTCATTTTTGCAAAATTAACACCCTACCTAGGGAGCGTTTTTTCTGTCCGGACTCCTGACGTAGCTCTACGTGCGGCGTAGGTTATTCTTAAGCGCACAGAAAAATTTTTAGCTACCTAGGGACGAAAATGTGAATTTCATTGTTGGAGAGTGGTGAAAAGGATAAATTGAATGCTTCATTTTTCAAAATTAGTGATTAGGTATGTAATAAGTGAATGCATAAGAATTGGGTGTTGTGTATGTGAATTCTAAAAACAACCTTCCTCAACTCAACAACAGTGAAGTCTCCACTACCACTTGATTTGATTTTAACGTTTTACCCTCCGATCGTTTGTATCTAGAATACTCTACTAGCTCTATATATAGCTGTATTGTAGCACTTTTTGTGTAATATACCCCCATTCATCTCCTCCCGCTACATCTAATCACCTAATGATAACAAGATCAAAGTCCAGCACTTGATTCAACCAGAATTTGCGAAGTTATGCACCTTTACTAAAGCGAATTCAAACGATAATTGGCGACAAGTTATGCAAGAGGAAATGGAAGCCCTTCAAAACAACACACTTGGGAATTAGCACCACGCCTACCCAATCAATCCATTATCGACAATAGATAGCATATAAGCTCAAACGCTGTCTCGACGGGACAATTCACAAATCTAAAGCCTGTCATGTGGAGAAGGGATAGAATCAACATTATGGGTTACACTAAAGTGAAACATTCAGTCCAGTGACTTGAAATCCCATCATTAACTATTGTCATTACTCGTCAATGGACACTCTTACAACCGGATGTCTCAAACGCATTTCTTCATGGAGATCTTCAAGAAACTATCTACATGCATCAACCATGAGGATACATTGATGAAAGCAAACCAAATCACATATGCCTATTACGGAAAGCTATCTATGGACTCAAGCGGTTGCCTCGTCAATGGTTTATTACATTCACAAATCATCTTTAAAAATTTTGTTTTCAGAAAAGCCAAGTTAATCCCATTCTTCTAATATACACACATAAATCCACATTCATTTATCTATTGCTATATGTTGATGATATTTTGCTAACAGGCAATGACAACAACAAAATTAATAGCATGTTGCCAATCTCAAAGTTGCTTTTTTCATGAAAATCCTAGGACCGGTCTCAACTTTTTTCGGTATCAACATTCAATATGCTGCAGCAGGGCTCTTCCTCACACAAGCACACTATGCAATTGAAATTCTCAAGGAAGTTGGGATGGAAGACTGCAAAACTACCCTAAATCCTATGGTTTCCTCTCAATCGATTAGTCCTGAACTGCAAAAACACTTTGCCAATTCATTTCTTTATCGCAATATCATTGGGTCTCTCCAATTCTTCGCTATCACCGATCAAATATAGGTTTTGCGAGCAACTCCTTTGCACATTTTCAACAACCACTGAACTTACACTTTCACCAAGTCAAGTGTCTCGGAACGGGTGATTATGGTCTCCCATCCAACCCGGGCCTCTCACTCTTAGCAGCTACTCCGACCCCAGTTGAGCAAGTGACCCCCACGAACGCTGATCATTTACATGCTATTGATCATTCCTCAGTCTCAATCTCATATCATGGCAAGTAAAGAAACAAACTATTGTTGTCATATCATTTACCGAAGCAAAATACCGAGCACTTTCCACGTTGGTCACGAATGTCATATGGTTACGACAATTGCTACGAGATCTATAAGTTCACATCATGCCTCCAACTATTATCCACTGCGACAACAACTCCGCACTAGCCATTGCTTGTAATCTGGTTTTTCACTCCCACACAAAGAATTTAGAAATTGCTATTATTTCATTGGGGAAAAACTACAATCAAAAGAGGTAGATTTCCCATATATACCTACTAGCAATCAGCTTACAAACATCTTTACCAAGTCCTTGTCAACTCCTCGGTTCATCTTTCTTCGACAAAAGCTGACACTTCAACCAATTAGCATCAGCTTGAGGAGGGCTAATAACAACCTTCCTCAACTCAACAGCAGAGAAGTCTACACTACCACCTGATTTGATTTTATCGTTTACCCTTCAACCCTTTGTTTCTAGAACACTTTACTGGTTCTATATGTAGCTATACTGTAGCACTTTCTATGTACACACAAAGGGAAATTAATCACATTCTTCTCTGTTTGTTACTATGGCCAATGTATGCTTCTTCTTTACTGTTTAGTAAATCCTTTCTCCACTGGCACTATCTGGTTACCCTCTCAATTTATTTGTTTAAAATTCTCCTATTTTAAAATTTATAAAAAATTGCATAATGCAAATTATTATATCATATTTGCATTTTCTTCTTTATGACTTCAATAGTCAATATTAATGCAACTGCAAAAAATATTCATTTTATAAAAATAATAATAGTGGTTTCTTTTATATCAAATAAAACAACAAAAAATGACATAATATTATAATCCAAATGAACTATCTATAATTTTTAACTTTATCTGCAGCAGGGATAAAATTTAGATTTATGAGTTTTTGTCATTATTACCCTTAAATTCATAATTGATCAAGCTAAATCTACGTTAATGGGGGGATAGCTTTGATTATTCAGAAATCTTGTTGATTTGAATGTATCAGTCAATATAATAAATTTGAGAACACTCGCTTGCCTGGGCATTGATACACAAAATATTACATTCGAAAAAATGTTGTTATGTGGATTCAATGAGAAAGTTGAAAGTGCTATAGACTCCATAACCCCCAGCCCTCCTACTCAAAATTAGAGATTTCAAGATTAAAGCTAAATTTTTCGTCATTGACTTAGAGACATCCTTCAACTCATTTCTGGAAAGTTCATGGGCTTCATGAGTATCGAATGCTGTCCAATGCATCAAGTACTGGTGAGATGACGTAGAATATTACATTAAGGGAGATCCTTCAACCTTTTTTTTTAAAAATTATTTTTGAATATATGATCTACAACCATTTATGGTCCATGAAGTCGGGATTTATGAACATGCAGCGTACTGCATACCAAAGGAGCAAGCAACTCTTTTCTATAAAGAGCACTTTCTTCTTGTGAGAGAGCAGCTCATCTTAATATGCGTTGTGAGAGCACTTTCTTTTTGATGTACTAATCCACGACAATAAGCATTGAAAAGTGAATTTCCATACTATCTATCTATATATATATTATATTTAATTATTTAAATAATGAAAATTAACAATGTTACTATTTCTTTTAAAGTATAGCTTCTAAGTTCAGTTAATCGAATGAGTTTTAAATACAATTATGTATAAGTACTGATATTTTATTATAAATAAATATTCAGTATCTGACACACGATAGAGATGACACTCATGTGACATGCACTTGACGTGGCCTTGTCCAATTAAAAAAATAAAGAAAAAAATCAAACTGGCTTGTGGCATAATCAACACACATTTTCTTAAAAATTACAATTAAATTTTATAATAGTGATAAAATTTATGATAAAATATTGGATTTTGATAAATATTATTGTACTACACAACTAAGATTTTATTGATGAGCAATTTTCTTTAATTTTTGTTAAATTTTGATCACTTTTTATAATTTATTTTAGTTAATATTTTTCACAATTTTTTTTATCTTTTGTATGTCATCATGATTTATCAATAATATGATAATCATTTTTCTCATTTTTAAATATTATTTTTCATCTCCAATATAATACTAAAATTTTAAATTTTTTTCATAATTATTTAATTTATAAATTAGTACTAGTATTAATATATAACTTTCAAAAAGGTTATTCCTAAGGAGGGTAATGAGGGATTTATAACAACAACCCACTTCATACGGTCATTTCTCAATATGAAATTAATGATCCGGTTAAATGTATTCTGAATCATGCGCCAAGGGTTGTTTAGCCCTATTTTTTTATAGACAAATGACCAAAATTACTATAATCAAATAGTTTGCTTAGATGCGCTATCTATTCAGTCCAAACTTCAAAATGGCAAGCATTCATAAAACTTTTAACTTCAAATGCTATCAAAAGAAGATGTCGCACACTGCCCTATTCATTTTATTTCCCCGTTCTTTTTTACATCGTCTACTTACATGGGTGCTATGTGCAGCCAAATTATTACGAGCTCGAGCAAGCATTCCCAAAATTTGGAGGATTACTTAACAATCTACTCCATCTGCTTACTCCGAGGAAGATATCAAACTAAAGAGATCTAGAGAACTGTACAGGCTCAAGATTTCACAGGGAGATCCACGAAGCATCACAAAATTGGAGGAACTGTATTTCCTCCATATGCTTACGGCCGACCTCTCTGCGACATATATCGAACAGGATAACTGGAGTTCCAACTCACCCCTGACCGCAGTTTTGGATCCTCAGGTTTTGGTTGGGTTGCGCGGAAGATGGAAGATGATGGATGGCCGTGGCTGAATAAGCCGCTTTTAACTGCATTTAGAGCAAAAAATCATGAAACAAATATGCATACTGCTAAGAGTAAATAAGCTCATGTACATATTAATTTTAAGAAAGGATTGAAGTTGAATATTCGTATTAATTACCAGAGATGGAAAGGAGTCATAGAACCCAGCAGGTTTCTGCGGCTGAATGCAGCTATAGAAGCTGCAGCTTATAAATGAGCTGGAGAAATCCTTCTTGCATGAATGACATTGCTTGTGAAGGTTGGGACTGACAATACAGTTGCCTGGTGAAGCCTTGCATTTAATGCAGTAGGCACGATCTATCTGCAGACAATAGAAAATAAATTGGAGAGAAGGCGAGGGGGAATTTACATATATACAACACAATTCTAATGTATTTACATATCTATCACCTAGATTTGCTTTTGTACATTATACCACCCAAAATTTTCACATCACATCAAGGAAGGTGTTTGGCTGCAAGCAGGGTTTTGCCTTAGGCGGTATTTTGGTACGTTATTTACAGGTAGATCTACTTATGGATTTAACACGAATTTGGTGCATTTAAACCCCCCCCTCAGCTAAATTCAAAAATTTTTGTGGCGTGATGGTAATCTAGGATTTATTAAATCCAAACACGACTAAGGGTGCGTTTGGGACAACTTGTGCTTATCAAAATAAACAGCCTATTTTGAAACGCAGCCCGCGAGTGACCTGTGGGGTTCAATCCGCGGTCTGCGTTTAGTGTAAAAACCAAAGCGCGTTTTAGGATAAGCTGTCGAAACGTGTTTTTCAAATTGTGAGGCGGCGTTTTCACACTTATAAGCTGCCCCAAACGGGCCCTAAATTTAAGAGATTGACTTCATTCGTCTGGTAAATCTTAAAAATAAATGTTAAATATTTATTATGAATTTAACTAAATTTAACATAAACAATACCAAAAACAAATTTGCCTTTAATATCACACGATGGATTTCCCAGATTTACTAAATCTTACTTAAATTCAAGATGCAACAAAACACCCCTTAATAGAATTTATTAAATCCGTTAAATCAGACTTATCCCTTAAATCCTGATTTAAGGAAGAACAAAGACAAAATTTGGCTGCATCAATACTATTTAGTATAGAATTTAGTTTAAATAGGATTTAGTAAATCCTATAAATTTATAATTATGAAATCTTAGAAGGGCTAAATCATGAAAACTATTCCATATGTTTATAAGTAATGCCTAATAACTCTGAAAAATTATTTGGCAACTTCGATAAAATTTAACAGCATTTATCCTCCCAAAGCTTTAGGTTCCGGATTTAAGGCAAAATGGAGGATATACGGGATTTAAGAAACTGTAGAATTTGTCAATGCCTTTTTAGCCGTTTGGTAGGCCGTTTGGCTAAAACCGGCTACCGAACAGCTCCTTGATAAATCTAATTGATAAATCCTATTAAAAGGAGCTATCAAACAAGCCCCAAAAGTACTATATTGAAAAGTATGCATGTAAATCTTCCTAATTTTGAGTATATGTGCACAAATAAGAGGAGACAATAATGTAGAACTGAAAAATACCAGATCGCTATCCCATTGGCGAGCGAAGTAGGAAAAAGGTTGCTGAGTTCCATCCCTGGGTGCTATTTTTTCTAACAAGCTTGGTTGATCAAACAATCCAGGACTTCTCCACATCTCAAACTCGCGGAATCCATCATCCAGCCTTCCTGGGTTAGCAGCCGACCAAGGCTTTTGCTCCCATTTCCCAAAATTAACACTTCTCTGCATGGAACCACAATTTTCGACACAAACATTCTCGTCTGAAAGATAAGTGCCGTCAGAAATCTCCGAGATCGATGAGGAATTTTCAGGCGAAGGAAATTGGGAAGATGAGAGAGGGAGAGCTGAAAGTTTTGGTTGCTGCGGCTGGTTGCAAGTCAATGAACATAAAGGTTGAAAGTTTTGGCTGCTGCGGCTGGTTGCAAGTCAATGAACATAAAGGTCGGAGAACCATGTGGGTAGGGGAACCATTTCCCGTTGAAATCACCTGCAACTTACAGATCCCGGGGAGTGAGCGAAGAAAGTCGCTCAATTTCAGGTATCCGATAGACTCGTGATCAAGTTCCATCCCACATGTGGCTCGAAAATCTCCTTTCAAGGATGAAAGAGGATACCATTCTCCGTCACCGAGCCTTCTGCATGTTTTGTTCAGGTAGGCTGGAAACCACTTCTTGAACCTGATTAACCATGGAGGATGTTCGCCGACTACTTGCTGACTAATGGAGTCTCCGCAACAAGGCATCCTGCTATTAGCCTCATCCGGTTCGTCTTCTTTGAAGAGTTCCCGATCAGAGAGAGAAGTCGAATTCTCCAGATGGCATCTCGGGAGAGCACTTTTGATCTCAATCGTCTTACCATAAAGAGTCACAAAATGAGCCTTGACAGCCATTTTCGTGGTATCTTCTTGCTTGAATGTGAGAAAACCAAAACCTTTGGATATCACACGATTGCCCACTCTGGTACCGACGACTAACGCATCATCCACAGGTCCAAACTCCTCCTCAAAGAACTTCTTCAGATCATCTGGACGAAGATGAAGGGAAAACATCGATATAAAGCACAAGAATTGTATACGCACAATAGGAGATTCACGTTTAGAAAACCTGAATCAACTGAAGGAGGAAGTCCCCCAACAAAGATTTTCAGTTGCAGTTCATCATTGAAATTCGCAGGATCCTAAAAATGAGACATTTGGCAAAGCTCAATTGAGCAATAGTGTGGATATGCACCACTTTATTTTGGAGACATGAATGGAACCTTACCTTATTAGACCTGAGAAGCTTAGCTTTGACTTCCAACAACCTGTTCTTCTCTAGTCTAGGTGCTTCCTCTCCATGGGAATAATAACATTTGCTACCTCTTCCACATCCATTCGGAGAATGGAAGTAGCGGCAAATACCGATTTTGGTATCCATTTCCTTGCAATTACTTTTGCTGAAAGAAAAAAAAAAGAACAATTGAGCCAATGTGTTAAATTAATGAGGTTCCAACTTAAAATTCTCAGTTTTTCTATGTTTTTTACTTGTACAGTTTGGCATTATCAGCTTTCAGTTCCAGAAATCCTTGGAACATGCTTGCACAGAGCTCTTCATCAAAAATGTAGGTGGCATCATCTTCCCGAGAGGGATTATTTCTGCCCACTGCAAATAAATGTCGAAACTGGGATGAATATTATTGTAATTTGCACTTCTATCTCTGAGATCGTTCCATAGCTTACAGGTTTTTGGATATACTGTTCTAAGAATGACACGCATTTCTTCAGATGGTGCCAGGTCTATTGGTCTCTGCTTGCTGCCAAAAAGATACAAGGAGATTCAGGTAATTGTGACATGAAGGCAAATCTAAAATCACAGGGACAAGCGAAAACCATTGTTGTTCTATAGAACTCACCGGAGATTAAGGGCATCCCTATTTGCACCGAACTGCAGAAGCAGTTTCACACAATTTGCAGAATTACCTTTCACTGCAAAAAACAATGGCGTCTCATTTGTCACAGAAAGGATATCCACATACTCTGGAGCATGAAGTAGCAGTATCTAGAGATCATCATTACATTCACCATAGAAAAAATCAAAATGAGAAAAAAAGGTAGAATAAACTAAAACATTCAAGGTAAAGGAACAACAATTCACCTGAAGAGATTCGTAATTTCCTTTGAGTGAAGCCAGATGAATTGGTGTGAGGCCTAATTTGTTGTGCTGATATAATCTAGCACCACACTTCAGCAAGGACCGGAGGATTCTGAAGAACCGACGAGGAATGAGAATTAACCTATGGGAGAAGTAATACAAAAGCCATACAATGATAATGAGAATTAACCTGGGGTCTTGAGAACTGGTATCTCCCTTGAGATATAAATGGAGGGATGAGTTCCCATCTTCATTAATGTCATTAGCATCCAAACTTTTCCTGATAAGTACTTCCGATAACAATTCATCTCCAGCCTACCAAATATGTTGGTAATTTTCTCGATTGAGATAAAGAATTTGATCCCAGGGAATCACATCAGCAAATGTTATACCTGAAATGCACGTAGCAGAGGTGCAAAATCTTTCTTGTTCCCCCAATTAATAGTGGAAGCAAATCCAAACAAGTGAAGCAGCTTAATCTGACAGAGTAGTGCTTGCCGCTTCTCATGTATCCAGTGAAGAGAATTCCAACACTGTCCTCCTTTCACCATTTCCAGTAGAATTAGGGACTCTTCCAGGACAAGTTCATACATAGTTTTGTTCTTTTCAGAACTCAAACTATTGTTTTTTCCGTGGATGGATGCTGCTACCCTAAGTTTATCTGCTGCCACTAGAAGGAGAGACGCCAGCTCTACCACTCGACCATCCACAGCCATCATGTAGAACAACTCGGTAAGATCTTTAGTTGCCTCAGCCAACAACCTGATAACAGTCAAATCCTGCAACAGAATTCCTTCGATAAATGACAATAATCATAAAAAGCATTCATTATACAAATTTTGGTGCAGAAAACAGACCATGCCTTTAAGAGAAACCAGGAGTTTTTCAACTGATTCTTCGGGAGACCAACTGATATGCATCCTAGCATACGCAGAACAACATTCGAAGGAATCAGTTCACTGGAAATAAGAAAAAATTTAAAATATGCAGTAGATACAGTATGGTGGAAATTCACCTTTGACTGGCCAGGGAGATCTCAAGAGGAAGAAGTGCATCACCATCATTGGATCTAAGATCAGCACGAGCATGCTTTCGAAGCAGAAGACCAACGCACTTTGCCGAGAGCATCTCTGCAGCAGTATGGAGTGGGGAGCGCCCAAAACAATCCATTTCATTGATGTTAACGCTCATTGCAGTTTTTCCTTCGATAAGAACCTGGGCACATTTCACTGAGTCCAGCTTACATGTTAGCTGAAGAAGTCTAGCAGCAACGTTGGGATCCAAGGCTTCATCTTTTGAGTGAGGAGATTCCAGTTCATGTTCGGAGGTATGCTTCAGCAAAGATTCGAGCCTAGAACTATCGTCTTGCCAAACCATCTCAACAAGTCTCGTCTCTAAGTTGCTGAGTTGAAGTGCTTCTTCGGCTTTAAACCCCTTAAATTCATTCAGAATTTGATGCCCGTAACGTGCTTCATCTTCCTTGAGCAATTCATCCTGTGGATCAGGCAGCAAGTTCCAAAAGAACTATTTTTAGGCAAAAATCCTCCAATTTGTACTTACAAGCTAATGCAATGATATTCCTCTTTTTTTGATTCAAAGCTTGCAGTTAGCAAATTTGAGCCAAAAAAGCTCACAACTATGTCCACAAAATATAGGTGGTAGGTATTGCCCTCCCTTTAGTAAAAAATAACTTTCCCTCCACAAAATATAGGTGGTATAAAACTTCGATGGAAGGTATTGCCCTCCCTTTAGTAAAAAATAACTTTCCAATCCTCACATTATATTGTTTTCATGTCTATGCAAGTTGGGTGACAATATTCAGATATCAACGACTGGACGATGGTTGTCATTGATGTTGAATGTTTGGTAGAGCTCTAGATACTTGAAATCTCAAAGCTCAAACTAATTAAAGTTAAGTCTTGGTCCCCTTTTATGTAGAGAATAAGAGTCTATTTGTAACTTTTAGAAACAACAAATTAATAAATCTAGTCAAATTTTCAGAACATCTCAGGGGACGACTAATACTCATTCTTTTGATCATAGGCTCATCTTTAACAGTTAAGTGCTTCATTAATGACTGATATTAGGCTTGTTGGATATCTATATTCTAGACTTTCCATTTGACAGTAAATTTATAAGATTTGGACTCAATTAATATTTCAAAATTTTCAATCAAATTTTGAAGTGTTTGATTTGGGCTCATTTAGACTCGAATTGAATTATCTTTAATGTCCTTGGGTTTGTATTATCAGGAAATTTTATTTAATTATAAATTTATTGAAATAAAAGTTTGACTGTTCCTAAATTTGACTTCACCGATTATCAAAGTTTATATGCATTGAGATTTATTCTTAATTAAGTGATATTTTGTTTTTTTGGGTGAGGATACTATGCCATTGTCTAGATTGACGTAAAAGCTGCTAAATAACAGATTGTTGTAAAGTTGTTTTCTGGAAGTTAAAAAATTATTTAATGATTGCAACATTGCTGGTGAAAGATTTAGATATCTCGGGTATGTTATTCAAAACGATGGTGATATAGATGGAGATGTTAATAGTAGAATTCAAGTTGGTTGGTTGAAATGGATGAATGCTTCGGGCCATTTGTGTGATAGAAAAGTACCGATTAGACTGAAAGGAAAATTTTATAAGAGGGTGGTGAGACCTGGCGCTGAATATTGGCCTTTAAAAAAGAAGCATAATACTAAGTTAAGTGTTGCCGAGATGAGAATGATTAGATGGATGAGTGACTTTACACTTTACACTTTTAGAGACAAAATGTGAAATGAATATATTCGTGATAGGGTTGGTGTAGTTCCAATGAGGAACAAAATTAGAGAGAGTCATCTTAGATGGTTTGGTCATATTAAACGTCGGTCATCTGATGATCTGATTAAGAGAATAGATGTTTTAGATTTGACTTATGTTAAGAAAGACAGAGGTAGACCTAGGAAGACTTGGGCTTATTATATAAAAAAAGATCTTAATTTATTAGAACTAGATGAAAATATGACACTAAATAGGACACAATAGAGAAAAAGGATTCATGTAGCCGACCCAACGTAGTGGGATCAAAGCTTTGTTGTTGTTGTTGTTGTTGTTATTGCAACAGTGCTAGCTATTTCCTCAAGTACATAAATATTATAATTTATAGTAACGCATATTTAGTGGATTGTGGTGCGTTTTTATGTTGCATGAGAGTAGTTAACATGTTTATGCCTCAAGACAACAAAACATTTATGATTGAATTTATCGTATTCAACAATTGTGTTAGCTTTAATTATGCAAAAACATTATTTGTATGGAGTTATGTGTGAAGGATTTACTGATCACTAAATTTAAAATATATTTTTACATAAAATGAGTTGACCCTCTAATTTGTAATTACAAATGCATGGATATTCCTCTTGGCTTGATTCAAAGCTTGATGCTTTGCAAGTTGAGTCACATTGCAGATAGCAAAGTTGAGCCAAGAAAGCTCACGACTTTATCCACAAAATATATGTAGTATAGAACTTTAACTAGTGCTGTTGTCCCTCGTAGTAATAAAAAACTCCCCAACCCTCATATTGTATTGTTTCCTTGACTTAATAGGGTCAACCGATGCAAGTTAGATGATGATGATCAGTTGCACAAATGGTTGTCGTAGACATTGGATGTCTAGTAGATGAAGATGCATTTTCAAGATACAAAGCCAAAATTTGCATTACAAATATTTATGAGCTGAGAGAAAAATTATGAGAAGCAAATTACTTAAAAGACTAGATTCATCATAGAAGTTATAAAATATGCCAAGATTTTGTTGTTTTGATGCCCAAGGTTGAAACAAAAGTGCCGTAGATTTGCTTCTATCAGAAGTCGTGGACTATTACAACCTTTGTCTATACCAAAATTAAAGTGTAAGGAGATTGCTATGCGCCGTGTGATTTAGCCATCGAAATCAAGATGAAGTTGTGATGCTAAAAGGGTTATTTATGACAAGTTAACTAATATGTGCATTTTATGCTTCTGAAACAATTTGATGCTATTGAAAAACTTGCCAAAGGTTATGTGGATGAAATTGTGCAATTTACATAAAATGCCAAAGGTGATAAAATCATATCCAGATGAAATATTTCAATCCATATTATGGAAAAGTATCTAAGAAGATTTAGATACTAAATTAACCTTCAATATTGCATTCCACTCGAAGGACAATGGGCAATCAGAAATAGCAAGTTAGATATTAAAATATTTATTTAGATTATGCATTTTTTATTTTGATGATGGTTAGGAGTCCCATTCAACATTAATTGAATTTACTTATAGTAATAGTTCTAAAGCAAGCATTGGTATAATGCCATACGAAGCACTCTATAAAAGAAAATATGGACAATCATCATGTTGGACAAAGGCAGGTAAAAGTATACGTGCGGATTTAGTAGATGAAATCATTGACAAAATTCGACTAATTTCACACACACACACACACACACACACACACAAACTAATTTATGATATATTAAATATTGTTCATTATATATATATATATATATATATACACACACGCGCGCGCGCGCGCGCACACACACACACACATATATATACAAATAGACACACACCCACATATTGAATCCAAGCTTATTCGTGAATAATACCCAACACAAAAAGCGTGAGAAGAGAGTACAAAAGTAGAGTGGGAGAGTGAATTATATATTGGAGCTATATTCTCTCATATGAACAATAAAAACAACTGAACTCCTTCAATAAATACTTCCCTATTTATAGAGGAATTAGTACGAAAGTCATATTACAGTTTTGCCCCAATATGTATAAAATCTAATATGATATATTTTTGATATTTTATAAGCGACGACTCATCATCTGGTTGCTTTTTGCCTCGATTAGCTCAACATGGTTGACTTGGCTCGACTGACAGCTGGGGCGGTTCAATTTGATTCAGTTGATAATTTACAAAGGTCTCTTCTTCAGTGAGTAGTCTTTATATCTGCAAGAGACATCTGAAGATATTTTTAGAATTTTTCTTCCCATTGGATTGACTCTTCTGCAGGAGAAACCTCTATATCAGGTCGGCTCCCTTAGGTTTAAAGACTAAGTTACCCTCCTGATTCATTTCCGGATGAGTGGTTTTGTCATCATCAATTAGCCATTCTCCTATCAACTTCGGGCTCAGTCGGCTTTGACTGGCCCAGCTTGATTCACTGGGATTGACTCATCTGGCTTAGCTTGTTCGGCTTGATGGGCCTCACAATTTGTTTGCAGGAGATCTTTCTCCATCTTATTCCTTTATTCTAGAGCGTTAGATCTCTATAAGATTAGAACCGACACTTTTCAATGTAACACACACACACACACATATCAAAGATATGCAAAATGAGTTTTAAATATCTTTGATATAGAAGTATGCAGCTAATGAGAGGAACAAGATTATTTTAGATCTCATAGATGATCAAATTGATCCTATATGTGCAGGAAAACCAATAAGAAAATTAATACATGACATCAGCTCAGAAGTTGAGAGATTTCTTTATCATGAGTTTTGTATAAGCATGATATCAAATAAGATATCAAATGGGATAAAAAATAAAAAAAAATTAAAAAAATATTATCCACAAATCTTTATTTGAGGTAGATTCTTATTTTTGAAGATGGAATTTCATAAGAAGAGGGAATTATTTAACTACTATAATTTAAATCCAACTATATTAAAACAAATGAGTTTCCATACATGAAAAACATATAACAATACCTTTTTAGAAAAAGTGTTAGTTATTTGTGCTAATCAGCATGACTTAACAATGAGTATAAGGAGGAGGGGTTGAGCGAGCCAAACCAATTAAAGAGGGTGGGAGCGTAAAAAAAAAAAAAGAGTGAGCAGAGCAACAAAAGATGAAACTGAGAACCGAGCAAGTGAATTAATGTACATGCTAGGGTTACACATGCATGAACCCTAAGACAATGATCAATGATGGGCTCAAGACCGAGCCATGCATGAGTAAGAAGCAATGCACATACAAAAATTTGTGTGTATCTTCTTTATTTTTTCTTCGAACTTAGTGGTATGCTTAAATTAAGATTTTCATTTGCAATTTTTAAACTTGAAATTTTGAAACCAATCAAGATATGAGATCTTGAAGATTAAACATAAAAGGAAAAAAAGGCAAAGTAAAGCATAGAAAATATTATTCAATATCTTATCTCAGTACAATCACACAACCCAATATAAAAGACTACAAAAGTTTATAAAAAATAAATGAATCCAACCGTGGAGATAAATAGAAAATTCATATTATATCATATATTATCCTCTCTCTCAAGCTAAAATTTGACTGCTAAGAGTTAGTTTATTCCGAAGCATGCAGAATCACGGTATAGGTAAGGATTTGGTAAATATATCCTCTGGTTGGTCATCCGTAGGAATATAACTGAGAACCATATCCTTTGATTGTATATGCTCTCTTATGAAATGACAGTCGATTTCAATGTGATTTGTAA